CACCGGGGGGCCCAGACCTTGAGCTGTGTCAGGAGCCCCAAAATTTCTGATGGCAGCCCTGGTCTCCCCCCTCAGCCCTCGTCTGTTTTTGCCCCCATACTTTGTCCGTTTCTGCCTGCCCCCACCCTTTATCTGACTGTGCCCTCCCAGCCCTTGTCTGTTTGTGCCCTGCCAGCCCTTGTCTGTTTGTGCCCTGCCCCAGCCCATGTCTGTTTCTGCCCACAGTGCCTTTGTCTTTTTCTGTCTCCTCGCCAGCCCTGGTCTGTTTCTGTCTCTCCCAGCCCTTGTCTGTTTCTGTCCCCATGTCTGTTTCTGTACCCCCATTTCTGTTTATGCCCCCTCCGTCCTTGTCTGTTTTTGTCTCCCCCCTTTCCCCGTCTTCTCCCCCTCCGGTGTGGCTTTCCTCCCTTCCTCTTGTAGTGTGCCTGAGCCACAGACCACGGTTAAGGAACTTTTTCCCTCTCCTTGGTCTGACAGGAGGCAGTTCAGCACTCTAAGTAAGCGCTTCCCGTCAGACTGGGAAGGGAAACAAGTTCTTCTACCCCAGTCTGCAGCTTAAACGCTACATGTGAAAAGCAGGAGGGGAGCGCTGTGTAGTGTGCTCCCCTTCTGCAAGTCAGCCGGATTCAGTGCACCTAGGGCTGGTGTGCCCTAAGTTGGCTGCCTGGACTGCCTTATGGTAGCGCCGGCCCTGGGGCCAGGCGTTGCACAGTGTACAGTGTACAGGGGTGGCAAAATGCCGCCTGGGGCCAATGGATGCCCTGGTGTATAGTGATTGTGTGTGTAAATGTGGTTATTAAAATATGTATATACGTGTAAATATGGCAATCCCACAAATAAGGGAGTTATCTACTAAACAAATGAAATATCAAAATTAAGAGAAGTTTTATTATATAAATTATTTATAGTATATATTTTTCCCAGGACAATTCCTCTTCACTCAATGTGGCCCGGGGAAGCCAAAAGGTCGGACACCCAAGGTTTAGATATACATCACACTCAGCCAAGTCTCACACAATTATACTTGACCAACTCTCTTACAATCACACACAGCAATAACAGATAGCCCACTTAAGTCTATTGCTTAGGGAGTGACTATGAGGGGGCCCTTCTTTGAATCTTATACATGGCCTAGCTCATCCTAGTTTCTCCCCTGGTAGTAGGCTCCTAGGTATGCACAGATCTGAAAGCTCTATCATGCTGTCATACCTCACAACTCCCCAGTGATAATTCATATGCTTAGATGTTTAAATTTCACGGATAAAGATATAATAATATTCACTGTTACAGAATAGTTTTATTGCAGGTCTAAAGCAACATCATAACCATTTCACCAATCCACAATTTGCACATCAAGGCAGAGTACAACATTTGGGGATGCAATCCCACAGTCCTGTAAAGTACAAAGATGGCCGCCCTTAACTTCACATCTGAGCTTCCAGAAAAAGTCTGCTTAATCATCATGGTGCATATCTCACAACTTCTCTGCACACATTGAGACAAAACATGTGTAAAATGTAGATGATTGATATAATGTTGAATCTTCTTAATTTCTTCTTATCTTCAGTTGATTGATATATATACGTCTTTTGTATATATATAGTCTTGGGCCAAATGCTCGCCACAATAATATATGTCTATATTATTGAAAAGACGCAATCTGACTTACGGTTTCTTCAGGTTTATTCTTTGTTACAGATACATAATAAAACAACAAATGATGTTACAGGATAGTAGACATTCAACAGCAGATGGTAATTGCTGTACTTCTGATGGGAGAGTTACATCGTTGTACAGAGCCAAGAGCCAAGCCAAGACTGAGAGCGACCTTGTGTCCCTCTGTTACTATAAAGATGTGCTCATACTAACGTCAGCGTTTAACTCTAGCCATATAAGGACAAAACCCCCGAATCCACATTCCAGAGCTCTCGGACAAAGAAAGCCTTGTGACTTATTGATACCTTCTGTTACTTATGTCAATCCACACATCCATATATATAATCAATAGAAACATAGAATATGCAATATTCTACATTCCCTCTGTTTATGGTTTGTTTTAAAACCATAACACAATGTAACTAACCTGTCCATTCATACATCACTTGTATCACATTCATTGAGCATAGAACAAGATGTAGTCACAACTTTCTATTATATGAGAGTTCTTGGAAGGTCGAGTTTCTATCCCTCATACTGCTTACTTTACTTCAAACTCCCTCTGTTTCAGCTATGTATTGATATCCATATCCATGTTACATCATAACTACTTGAACATAATATATACATATATATAACAATAATAAATGAATAAAATATTTACAAATGTTGATCCAATAAACAATGTAAAGCAATCAGAAAGATCTACCTGCTCAGGTACAGTCATGTCTTTGTAGACAACAAAATCAAGATCATAACTTTCTAAATAATAACTGTGCATCACTATCATACTCCTACAGATACATATAGCATAGTATTTTCATTCTCAATACCTGATATTACTCAAGTACTAATACATGTATTACTATAATATACGTCCAATTATATTCTAGCAACCTTAAAATCTTCAGGTCATTTGTATTCATGAATTACATTCCTATACCATTAATACCACCTAGTGATGATTGTATCAGTACTTTACAATCATAGTATTTAATTTGAATATTCAGTAGGCTCTAACTACCTGAAATATATTAACACTACTTATAAGTCTCATTCAAAGGATGTGTTATCAACCATGAAGTTCTATAATAATTCTTCAAATAATGTTCATGGTGTTAACAATACTTATTGTTCTAGAAATTCTTCACCCAGAAATCTTTCTATCATAGATTTGTTTTTGTTCACATAATTATAATTTTGACTAAAATTCCACCTTGTAGTAACAAACTTTTTATTCAATCGGAGAATGGTTTACTTTAAAAGAATTTGGAAAGAATAATTTAAATTCATTATCATCACTCTCTTCATTAGCATTGTGATGACTTATTAATGTCATACATCTTAAAAGCAGGATTGTCCTAATGTTCTGACCAATCCATATTCCTTAGTATACTTCAACTGACTAAAATAAAAAAAAATAAACTTGGGGTCATACTGCCCAGAAACTCTTATTCCTAGTCTGTGTCTAATAAACTTAATTTAATCATAGGGTAGGGTAATCATAAAACAACTTATTCATTGGATATCACCTGTTGTGGTCGTGACCTAAATATGAATATTAATCTCTTAATACATAATAATTAAGCAATACGGAACAACATTAATATTTTTATAATTCATGGTATTATGGTCGAATATGTGGATAGAAAATACACAAAACGTTGTAATATTAAATGTATATTTTATATAACTATAATAAATAAACAGATGCTAGCAGAATGTCAATTTACTACAATAATTATACAATACAATACTACAACATATTACTTACAAAAGGTTGCTAAATGTTACACAAAAGGCTATTACAGTTGCTATATGTTACAATGGATTCATATTACTTACAAGGCCCCAGCCAAAGGGCTGGGGCTAGGTCAGAGCTGGTGCTACATGATCAGTCAGGTACAGGCAAACAGAGAGCTAGCTTCTCCTCACATCTGGGTTTTTATTCAGTGTAAGTAGGCTGGCCTGTGATGTCACTGCCAGAAGCACAGGTCTTCCTACACACTCCCCCTAATGGTGCCCCCAAAGCATTACACTAAATATGCTTTACTGACATCTAGTGGTGCGTCTAAAGCATTAAGCTCATTATGCTTTTTTTTATGACAAAAAGTCATTAATTAATAAATACCATTACATCACCATATCCAGAAACCTATTCTCCCTAGCCCATACCTTTTATAGACTTAGGTCAAATATAATTGTGTACTATACTCTTTCAATTCAATTCCTCTTGGATCTCTGAACTCTTATATCCAAGGCATTCTTAATGTATACCATTACTTAATATTAATCAATATAAATTATTCTTCCTTAGTTTTCTTCCTTATGTTACCATTGTTTGTTTTACTTCACCTCAATATAAACAAATTACTCATTATAGTTAATCTATGAAATACTATTGAACTCAATCTTTATGGTATTACGTAACCATGCTCCTTATTTTATCAACTTCATATTTTATCTACTTCTGATAATGTAATAGTTCTCTTCATAATACTATCTTTTCGTAATTGTACTCCATGTGTTATATAGTTATAAGTAGTCTCTTTTGGTATTAATACTCATAACTGTTAAATAACTTTTCATTGTCTGTTTTCTTCATTAATATTTAGGAATTAATATTTGTTAGTGTCAATCTTTTATTTCTTTGTAAGTCTGTTAATCTTCTGTATCGAATGAACTCTGTAGAATCTTCCATCACAGTTTGCAGATCAGATGAAAAGTCTCTTTCCAACAGTCGATGTCCAGTTGTCTGAAGGAATGCTTTCCTAATTTATTGCCACAAGGATCTGTCACGCTTTACCAGATCAGTTATTTCTGTCTATTTCGTTGCTTCATCCACACATCTGCGCAGTTCTGGACGCTTGCCAATGTCTGCCACGTGCTTGCTTCTAGAATTCACGTTGTATCTTGTGCTTTTTGTCTCAGTTGTAGAAAATAGTCTTGTACAGTCTTTGTAATTTGAAAACTTTCTTTTTCTTACAAACACAGTTCTTCTGACAGTCAGTCTAGATTCTTTTTTTCTCTTCAAGTTTGTTTTCCCAGTTCCAAAATAGCTTTGTAACTCGATTCTTCTCTCTCCCCCCTTGAAGTGGGAACAAAACTTGAATAGAAGACTGGCTGGCTAGCCAATGTAAAATGTAGATGATTGATATAATGTTGAATCTTCTTAATTTCTTCTTATCTTCAGTTGATTGATATATATACGTCTTTTGTATATATAGTCTTGGGCCAAATGCTCGCCACAATAATATATGTCTATATTATTGAAAAGTAGTAATACGCAATCTGACTTACGGTTTCTTCAGGTTTATTCTTTGTTACGGATACATAATAAAACATAATATGATGTTACAGGATAGTAGACATTCAACAGCAGATGGTAATTGCTGTACTTCTGATGGGAGAGTTACATCGTTGTACAGAGCCAAGAGCCAAGCCAAGACTGAGAGCGACCTCGTGTCCCTCTGTTACTATAAAGATGTGCTCATACTAACGTCAGCGTTTAACTCTAGCCATATAAGGACAAAACCCCCGAATCCACATTCCAGAGCTCTCGGACAAAGAAAGCCTTGTGACTTATTGATACCATCTGTTACTTATGTCAATCCACACATCCATATATATAATCAATAGAAACATAGAATATGCAATATTCTACAACGTGTAAATTAAAAATCTCATAATGTATGTTTCAAAATGATGGCTAAGAACTTTGGTGCATTCATTTGCTTTGTTGTTGTCTTGTTGTTTTTAAATGCACACTTTGAGTGGTTTCAATTTTGTAACCAAAATTGGACATTGTAGTTTAGGTGAGTAAAAAGAAATAAAAACTAAAAACCATGTAACCGCTGAAGCACTAAAGACACAGCAGTTAAAAGTTATAAGAGGAGGAGACAAATGTCAAGACAAAGGTATTTGTTATTTTATTAAATTGCATATCAGTAGAGTCTTTGGGAAAGAAACAAGATTTCATGGCTTAAAGGACCACTCTGGGCACCCAGACCACTTCAGCTTAATGAAGTGGTCTGGGTGCCAGGTCCAGCTAGGGTTAACCCATTTTTTCATAAACATAGCAGTTTCAGAGAAACTGCTATGTTTATGAATGGGTTAAGCCTTCCCCCTAATCCTCTAGTGGCTGTCTCATTGACAGCCACTAGAGGCGCTTGCGTGCTTCTCACTGTGATTTTCACAGTGAGAGCATGCCAGCGTCCATAGGAAAGCATTATGAATGCTTTCCTATGTGACCGGCTGAATGCGCGCGCAGCTCTTGCCACGCGTGCGCATTCAGCCGACGGGGAGGAGAAGAGGAGGATCGGAGGAGGAGAGCTCTCCGCCCAGAGCTGGAAAAAGGTAAGTTTTTACCCCTTTCCCCTTTCCAGAGCCGGGCGGGACGGGGACCCTGAGGGTGGGGGCACCCTCAGGGCACTATAGTGCCAGGAAAACGAGTATGTTTTCCTGGCACTATAGTGGTCCTTTAAGTAGCTGTAAACTAGCATTTTAGATAGACTAGTATTTAGAGAGAGTTTAGTTGCAGGCTGTAATGATGAACCATAAAACAGCCAATAGGAATTATAACTATCCATGTCAGCTACTTAGACTTCTTACTGACAGAAACACATATGTTTCTAATTTTATTACATACCATATGCACTAAATGGCAGGATAACACTAATATTCCTAATCCATTTGTCTTGAGTGACTCTGAGCATTGTTAAAAAGCTATCATAGTTAAAACTCTGTACCTGAGCATCAAGTAACTTATAAACCCTGTCAGAAAACTCCATGGTTAATTACACTTTCAACACCTACCACACACCTTGTAAATGGAGGTGTGAAAAATATGTAGTTTTCAGTCCTCGCTCTCTCTCATAAGGAGTTGAAAGTTGAAGGACATAGAGAGAGCAGTATTGGGTCCTTGACCCAACCTTTGTGTTGTGGAATAAATCAGGTTTATTACCTAAACTGAGAATTCTAGGTGACTTCTACATTCATTTCAAATTTCAGGCCAAAGTAGTTGTGTTGAAAGCATAGCTGACTTAGATAGTGTTTCCAGTTCAGCTAATTTGACCATAAATTTGAATACACTTTGACTTCAAAAACTTTAAATTCTCACTGTAGTGAATAACCCTGAATGTCTGTAAAAAGGAAAAAAGGGATTAAACAATGCCAAGGAAAACCAACCTCTTCAGCCCTCTGTAAAGATAAATATATATATATATATATTATTATATAGTATTTAGGGATTACTATCAAACAGCATATATTTTATTTAATTTCATTAGAGTGTGGAAGAATGGTACTCTAGCACTATACTTATACTCTACAATTGTTGTGGTGAAAAGAGTTACCATTTTCTGTTTACCTTTATTCTGTCATGCAAAAGCAGAATGCTTTTGAATTTGCCTGATTTATATCCCAACCAGTATACTCTATGATGTACATATTCCCCTTGACCCATACAAGATATTGCATAACATGTACAATCCATACTTCTCTCTAAATTGTAGGCTATGTACAGCTATCAGGGATTGTTAGTGGTAGCTGGGAACCGCATTTGGTGGATCCAAGGTGTAATGGAGCTCCAGTACTCCGACCGAGTACCTCCGCCAAGTCTGTTTCCTCAGGGACCCTGGAGCACTTCATATGCAGTCGCCGAGGCTTGTCTGGATTGACTGAGGGCCTTTTCCACCCTGGACCAGGCTAATGTGCTTACAGCCCTAGACACTTTTTCATCAGCAGATTATATGCCTTTCCCCAAACACCAGACAACACTTTGTGAAGGTTAAAACAGCAAATAACTTTAATAGGCATATCACACATAATTTATACCCCAAAAGCCTCATTTACATACAATAGGGTGCAAAGAGTACTATAGTACAAGGAAGGGTGGGGTCCGACTATAGTAAGAGCTGATAGGAGCTTGAGAAGGGACAAGACAGCTAGTTTAAACTAGTCTGGCAGTGTCCCTGGGACAACGCCCTGCCAGTGGAAACAATAGGACAGGAAAAAGGGGGATGGGGAGAGGCACAGACAAGCAATACATTCAATATACCCTGCACCAATAATGGGCACAGGGTGACCAAAACACAAAAGGAATCTGGGCACCCACACATAGTTGGTTCGGTAAACGAACGGAGGGTGTACGGACAGCCGAACAAATGGGAATAAAAGTTTAGTTAGGGCATTCATTCCGCTACACAAGGTAAGAAATCAAACCATTCATAAGCAAGTTGACTACTTACAAGCGGGCGGGGGCACCAGGGCAATCCTGGTTTCATAACCTATACAGCGTGCAATAGTGGTTATGGTGCTTGAAGTGTTCCATTAATAGATATTCTAATAGCTTGTAAGTAGGGCAATTAGTTTAAAGGGACACTATAGTCACCTGAACTACTTCAGCTTAATCAGGTTGTTCAGGTGAGACCTATAGCTCCCTGCAGCCTTTCTCATGTCAACACTGTATTTTCTGAGAAAATACAGTGTTTACATTGAAAGCTAGGAACAACTCTAGTTGCAGTCACTCATACTGCCACCAGAGGGACTTCTGAGTTGATGGAGGCGTAATACGCCTCCATCCACTCAAATTTGCTGTCAGCAGAGCACAGGGCACTGTGCTTGAGCTTCCTGTCTCACAGGCAAAAGAAAGAAGGCAGGAGGATGCAGAGATCTTCTGACTTCAAACTGTAAGTACACTTATTTTAAAAATTTAGATTGAGTGTGAGTTAGACAGTGAGTGTGAGTGAGACTATTAGTGAGACTGAGTGTGAGAGAGCGAGTGTGTGAGTGTGAGAGAGTGATTGTGAGTATGGGCGGGTGGCTGAGTGTGGGTTAGTGAGTGAGTGATTGTGATTGTGGGTGGGTGGCTGAGTGTGGGTTAGTGAGTGAGTGATTGTGAGTATGGGCGGGTGGCTGAGTGTGGGTTAGTGAGTGATTGTGAGTGTGGGTGAGTGGGTGACTGAGTGTGTGAGTGACTGAGTGTGAGTGAGTGATTGTGAGTATGGGCGAGTGGCTGAGTGTGGGTTAGTGAGTGAGTGAGTGTGAGTGTGGGCGGGTGGCTGAGTGTGGGTTAGTGAGTGAGTGATTGTGAGTGTGGGCGGGCGGCTGAGTGTGGGTTGGTGAGTGAGTGATTGTGAGTGTGAGCGGGTGACTGAGTGTGGGTGAGTGAGTGATTGTGAGTGTGAGCGGGCAGCTGAGTGTGGGTTGGTGAGTGAGTAATTGTGAGTATGAGCGGGTGACTGAGTGTGGGTTAGTGAGTGATTGTGCGTGTGGGCAGGTGGCTGAGCGTGGGTTAGTGAGTGAGTGATTGTGAGTGTGGGCGGGTGGCTGAGTGTGGGTGGGTGAGTGATTATGAGTGTGGGTGG